GTTTGTTTACATAACTCTGCACTTGTCCTCTCTCATGTACTCATTCTCTCTCTCTCTCATTTATTCATTTTATCTCGTTTACTCACCCTTGACCCTACATTAAGACTACAAATAATTTAAGGTAAGTAATGAGTGCACTATGTGTGTATTGTAGTTTTTTAGTGTTTTTTGATGCCTAGTTCTATTGCTAACTTAATATATGTTAGTGTAAACTTGTTATCTAGTATTTGCTGACCAGCCGGGCTGTGGCTCGTACATTGGTTTGCGTGCAGCCAGCAGTAACAGCCTGGTTGATCAGGCTCTGATCCACCAGGAGGCCTGGTCACAGGCCGGGCCGCGGGGGCGTTGACCCCCGGAACTCTCTCCAGGTAAACTCCAGGTAATTTATAAGTGGAGAAAAATGGTGTTCCACTTTACGATGATTTCCGCTTTACGGTGGTAGCCTGGAACCTAACCTGCCGTATAAGTGGGGCCCTACTGTACCTGAAACCCATTCTCTTTGCTGACGACATGATTTATGTCATCTCCCACCCAAATCTTGCCACACTCAACACCATTGTTAACGAAGAGCTACTAAAAATATCTACTTGGATGACAGCCAATAAACTTACACTTAACACTGACAAAACCTTCTATATTATGTTTGGTAACAGATCAGGTGTTGCACAACTTAACATTAAGATTGACAACACTCTTATTGCCAAACATAATGAGGACAAATTCCTAGGCCTGCACCTCGACAGCAACCTGAAATTCAGCACTCAAATCCAACACATAACATAAAAAGTATCCAAAATGGTTGGGATCCTCTCCAAGATATGTTATTACGTGCCACAATCACATTATACCATTCACTCATCTATCCCTACCTCGCCTATTCTATTTGTGCTTGGGGGATCGACAGCAGCAACACACCTAAAGCCAATAATAACCCAACAAACAGCCGCAGTAAGAGTAATCACACAGTCCAATCCCAGGCAACAAACTCCCCCACTCTTCACATATCTAAACTTACTGTACAGAACATCCACACCTACTACTGTGCAACCTACATTTACAGAACCATAAATTCCAATATTAACCCTGAACTAAAACATTTTCTTGATAGTTGTGACAGGACCCACAGGCATAACACCTGGCACAAAAATCTCTGTGACATTCCCTGTGTCCAGCTAAACCTGTACAAAATTTTGGTGTACGTAAAAGGACCTAAAATCTTGAACACCCTACATGAAAACTCTAGAACTGCAGCCACAAGCATCACTTTCAAAACTACTGTTAGAGAACATCTTATCTCCCTGACACACCCCACCATCAGCTAACTACATGAAACCACCTATTCTCTTGTATCATACACACACAAAAACAAACTAGACCTACTCTCGATATCTGTGATTGCTCCCCAATTCACACTTACAATCACCCAATTGACAGTAAACATAGAAATTAAGCTCAAAGTAGCAGAAATGTTCGATTTTTACCAATGCTCAGGAGTAAGCAAATCACACCACACATCCAATACACGTCAACTGGGGAGTCTAATATTCTTTCACTAGTACACTGATATTATGTATACCATTTTTACAATAATGAAGTAGTCTGCATAACAGTAAATTTTATATTTTTTGTATGAATAAAAAATAAAAATAGAAAGCATTAGTAATATAAGAGGGGCCTAGAGACGTGGCTAATGAACAGAGGATATGTTATTTTAGTGCCAAGAATGTCTACATTGTTTATTCTGGACCCTATTTTGAAATAGGCATCTTTTTTAATTTGCATGAAATTGGCCAAAATGCCAATTTCTGACCACTTTATTGGGTAGTTCAAATCGGTAAATGGGCGGTTTCTTGTACTCATCTGATAGAAAAAATGGAGTTCTAAAGAATTAGCTATGAGTTTGGTCAACTGGAATAACGGAATTGGCCAAAACCGGGGCTCAAAGTCGGCAAAATCGCCGATGCGTATATGTCGCTGAGACAGCTAACTTCGCGGGAGCGTAATTCCATGAGTTTTTGACCAAATTTTGTACTTTTGGTGTCATTACCATTGGGAAAAGATTGTCTATCATTTCATAAAAAAAATAATTTTTTTTATCCAAAAGTTTTGCGACATAGAATGACAGTTTCAGAAAGGGGCTTGCAGCAGTCAAAGAGTTAATAGAAACTATCATACCAAGACAAAACCATTCACGTTGCTAAATTTAGGAACTGTACTGCAGTTACCTAGCCTTAATATAAACATGCTCCATAACCTGTACCAATATAGAGTTTGAATTAATCTTAGTCTGCCTGAAATGCCTAGTCATGTTAAGCTTGATAGTGGCCCTCTCTGTAATTAGTATTTTATAATGTGTAAACCACAGATTGTAACCAATATTTTATAATATGTAAACCCTGCATTGTTATCTCTATAGAGAATAAACTTGATTGATTGATTGATCAAATGTTTTCCTTAGGTTGATAAAAAGTTCTAATGGAAATTCATTTTTTTCAAGTGCAGTGTAAAGCAGGTCTTGCATTTTTACAACTGTGTTGTTTGTGCTTTTGTTTTTTCTGAAGCCAAATTGGCAGGGGTTGAGGATGCTTTGTGCTATTATGAAGAAATATAATCTCATGTGCATAAGTTTCTCAAAGATTTTGGATAGCACCTGTAAGTTTGAAATAGGCCTGAAGTTGTTTACATCTCTGGGGTCACCACCTTTGTGTATTGGTGTGACCCTGGCTATCTTGAGTAGTGCCAGGAAAGTGCTTGTTACTAGTGAATTGTTAAAACGTAATGAAATAGCAGGTGAGAGAACATGAGCTGCTTGTTTGTACAATAATGGAGGAACTTGAGCCAGATTTCCTGATTTATTTGTAAGTGATTTAATAATTGCAGTGACTTCTGTGGGCTCAGTTAGTGCAAGGCAGAAGGAGGTTGGGAAATTCCCGTCTAAGTAATCGCTTTCTCGGGCGTTGGTACCTGGGATTTTACTGGCAAGATTTGATCCTATGGTTGAAAAAGTCATTTATCTTGTTAGCTGTATCAGTAGGCTATTGTTAGGCTTCATTCATTTTAGTTAGGACAATATCCCTAGTTTTTTTAGTTTGTGGGCCTAGTGATGTGTCTATGAGTTCTGTGGCAACTATCAAGAAAAATGTTTCACATCAGGATTGATATTAGTGTTTACTGTCTTGTATATGAAGTAAGCACAATTGTAAGAGTGAATGTTATGTATGTTAACCCTTTCACTGTTGAAACCCCTGCTCACTTATTTGCTCTTAGTGTAGAATTTAAAAAAAAAAACAAATATTTTTTCTTATGATAGAAATTTTTTTCCCATTGGTAATGAAACCAAAAGTACAAAATTTTATGGAAAACTTATGGAATTACGCACCTGCAAAGTTAGTAGTCTCAGTGATATTTATAAATGGGCAATTTTGCCCACTTTGAGCTCTATTTTTGGCCAGTTCCATTGTTCCAGTCGACCAAACTCAAAGCTATTTCGCTAGAACTCCTTTTGTTCTATCAATTGAGTACAAGAAACTGCCATTTACTGATTTCAACTACCCAATAAAGTGGTCAGAAATTGGTAATTTGGCCAATTTCATACACAATTCAAGGAAGGCCAATTTCAAAATAGGATTCAGAATTAACTGTGCAAACATTCCTAGCACTAAAATAACATTTTCACTGTTCATTAGTCACATATCCATGCCCTTCTTATACTATTACACTTGCTGTCCATTTTGAATTTTTATTCGCACAAAAAATTAGAAGATTTACTGTTATGCAGACTACTGCATCATTGTAAAAATGGTATAAATAATATAGCACATCTGTGAAAGCATATTAGACCCACCAGTTCATGCACATTGGGCACCTGACGTGATTTGTTTACTCTTTAGCATTGGCAAAAATCGAACATTTCCACTATTTTGAGTTCAATTTCCAGGTACTTTTAGTTTGTAATACATTCAAAATCATTCTATTTCTGTAATATGTCTTCCATTCTGTCAAAAGAGACCAAGAAAATGATAATACAACCATAAATACCATACGAAAACACACCACAAAATCGCTATTTTAAACCAAAAACGCAGTCGGAGTTTTTTCTCTTATGCACTGCATGCCGAAAGATTTTTTTTTATACTGTGCACACTCACCACTCAGACCCATTCTCTCATATGTAGGCCTACCAGCTTTTTCCCACAAGATTGGAAGCTGCTAGAATTTTGATATAGTAATTCAGGGCTGTCACTGGCTTGCAAGCCATAATATTGTGGGACCGACAGTGAAACAGTTAAGTAGGTTTAGGCCTTTGAAAAGATGTGGAGTGTGTTGCCTGGCAGTAGAAGGATGTGGAGTGTGTTGCCTGGTAGTAGAAAGATGTGGAATATGTTGCCTGGGAGTAGATGGGTGTGGAGTATGTTGCCTGGCAGTAGAAAGATGTGGAATGTGTTGCCTGGCAGTAGAAAGATGCAGTGTGGTGCAATGTGTTGCCTGGCAGTAGAAAGATGCAGTGTGTGTTGCCTGACAGCAGGAAGATGTGGAGTGTGTTGCCTTGCAGTAGAAAGATGTGGAGTGTGTGCACACTGACCACAGAGACCCACTCTCTGATATGTAGGCCTACCAGGCCTCTCGTGTTAAATTTGAAGCTGGTAGAATTTACACGTTCTGTGTCAGGGACCCTGTGCTTAATGACAAGTCTGTGCAACAAACAGTGAAAGGCTTAAGGTGCAGCATTTGTGTCTTTATTCAATCAGAAGCTCTCAAGAGTTCTCTTGTAAGTAAATGTTTTTGAGCTCTTCAATGGAGATGTATGATCCACAAAGGTTTAGTGCTTCTTTTTCAATGTAATAATAATCTAAGACTTTTCTTCTTAGTGGTTTTTTGGTACCATTATGGTGTCAATTTCCCTACACTTTTATTTTGATTTATTATTGTCCATGGATATTTAAATTATGCTGTTGTAAATTTAATTCAAGTTCTGTTAAATCTGTCTTTCTTTTTTGTAGTTCATCTTTTCAAGAGAAGAGTTACACTTGAAGATCCAACACCCAGCAACATAAATCTCAGGCACAATCGGCAGTGATCCAAGAACTTCCTACATTGTTATAAATACAAATTTAATATCTGTGCACTAAGTTAAGGAGCCAGTTTCAGCATTCTTGCTACTGCAGCTTCCACAGCCTGCAGATATAGTATGTCAGAAACACTTGTTGAAGTATTGCCATGGACCATTATTATATCTTGCCGTAATAAATATTATGTCTGAAATAATTTACATATAAACGTTACCCTTATTTTATGGCAGTGTTTGTGTATTTAACTTTTTCTGATACTGGTAAGAATAAAATAAAGGTCCAGTAATAATAATAATAATGATAACATAAACATTGTTGTTAATACATTCACACTTAATCAATAATCATTAGTTTAAATGTACAAGTTGTGAATAGTTAACTCTAAAAATGTGTGGAAACAGTTAAATTTTTTTTATTATACACATATAATATAAAATTTTAGTGAATGTTTGCTAAATATTACACCTAGTTTTTCTAAATTTAATTCACAAAATCATATAGGGATCTTAATGACTGTATTTTTGCTCTTGATAAATTATTGCTTCTTCATATTGATCTGTCATCTCATTGTTATCAAAGGAATACATCAGCTTATTAAACTCTCAATAAATGTAAACTATGTTTCAAGCAATATTGGTTGTGTAGTGAAGAATAATCATTGGAATTGGAGAAACGAACTTCAAGACTTAATTGAAATAAGAAATAGTCTGACAGCTCTATATTTCAGCCTCTGATGGTGATCTTCACATGTACTTCACAAAATTTTTGCTCCATAATATATTTACTCCACAATGTAGTGTTGCCCTTCACCAATATAATTTTGCATTGTGTATGTATATATGTCTGATATATTTTATATCTTCAACTCCAGATATATACACTTGTTTAAAATACTATGCAACTGAAAACATTAAAACATTGATGTAAAATTGCTTATGCCCGTATTGATCAAAAATGCCATTTCAACCACTGTTGTAAATTGAATTTTAACTTGCATGACCTATGTGTTGTTAACACCATTAAACACCTTATGTATTTCATTTCAGAAACAGATGTATATAATATAATGTTCATGGGAGGAACAATTTAAGCATACAGGCTATAAATTTTAAACAGAATTTTTGTCCACTGTTCTTATAAGTTATCTCTCTGTTTATGTTGTTTAAAAGACTGTCTTCATATATCAGATATAATGCATCACATTAAACTTGATACAAAAACCAAAACGCTTCAATGTACCGTGTGTCTGAAAGAGTTTTCCTGTAAAAGCGCTTTAACCTGTCACATGAGAGTTCACACAGGAGAGAGACCGTATCATTGTTCAGTGTGCCTAAAAGATTTTAAACAAAAACCAACTCTAGTCCATCACATGAAAATTCATTCTGGAGAAAAACTCCATTCATGTTCATTTTGTTCAAAAAGATTTTATAAAAAATCAAAACTAGTTGAACACATGAGAATTCATACTGGAGAGAAACCATATCAATGTTTGGCATGTTCAAAACACTATAGATTTCAATCAGATCTCAAGAAACACACACGAGTTCATACAGGAGAAAAACCACATTCGTGTTCAATGTGTCTAAAAGGCTTTAGTGTAAAAGCAGATCTACTTAAGCACATGAGAGTTCATACAAGAGAGAAGCCATATCAGTGTTCAGTTTGTCACAGAAACTTTTCACAAAAAAGCAGTTTAACTATTCATGTAAGAGTTCATTCAGGTGAGAAACCATATCAGTGCTCAGTGTGTCTCAAAAACTTTACAAGAAAAACAGACCTAGTAAATCATGCATCTGTTCACACAGAAGAAAAACCCTATCAGTGTTTTGAGTGTCTAAAATGTTTTAAAAGAAATGTATCTCTAATACACCACATGAACATTCATATGGGAAAGAAACCTTTTCAGTGCTCAGAGTGTCTGAAGGGCTTTTCAGGAAAATCAGATCTAAGAGAGCACACAAGAGTTCATACTGGAGAGAAACCATATCATTGCCTAGAGTGTCTTAGACAATTTTCACGAAAGTCAAATCTAAGACGTCACATGAAAGTTCATACAGGAGAGAAACCATATCAGTGTTCACAGTGTCTTAAAGAATATAAACAAAAGTCATCATTAATTCTCCACCAAGAAGTTCATAAAAATAATACTATAATGTTCAGTGTCTGAAAGACTTTTCAGTAGGGTCTCAACTTAGGACCATCCCTAGTTATGCTGATTCACATTTACAATTTTTTTTTTTTTTTTATTATTAACACATCGGCCGATTCCCACCAAGGCAAGGTGGCCCGAAAAAGAAAAACTTTCATCATCGTTCATTCCATCACTGTCTTGCCAGAGGGGTGCTTTACACTACAGTTATGAAACTGCAACATTAACACCCCTCCTTCAGAGTGCAGACACTGTACTTCCAATCTCCAAGACTCAAGTCCAGCCTGCTGGTTTCCCTGAATCCCTTCATAAATGTTACTTTGTTCATACCCCATCAGCACATCAAGCACGCTCACGCATGCTTGCTGGAAGTCCAAGCCCCTCGCACACAAAACCTCCTTTACCCCCTCCCTCCATCCTTTCCTGGGCCGACCCCAACCCTGCCTTCCCTCCACTACAGATTTATACACTCTCGAAGTCATTCTGCTTTGTTCCATTCTCTCTACATGTCCAAACCACCTCAACAACCCCTCCTCAGCCCTCTGGATAATAGTTTTGGTAATCCCGCACCTTCTCCTAATTTCCAAGCTACGAATTCTCTGCATTATATTCACACCACACATTGCCCTCAGATATGACATCTCCACTGCCTCCAACTTTCTCCTCGTTGCAACATTCATCACCCAAGCTTCACACCCATATAGGAGTGTGGGTATAACTATACTCACATTCCCCTCTTTGCTTCCATGGACAAAGTTCTTTGTTTCCAGTCTCCTAAGTGCACCACTCACCCTTTTCCCCTCATCAATTCTATGATTCACTTCATCCTTCATAGACCCATCTGCTGACAAGTCCACTCCTAAATATCTGAATATATTCACCTCCTCCATACTCTCTCCTTCCCTCTGAAAGAGGGATGGGGATGTTTGCAGTTTGGAGGGATGTATGAACTGTAGAATCAGCGCACCTCTGGCAAGACAGTGATGGTGTGAATGATGGCGAAAGAGTTTCTTTTTCAGGTCATCCTACCTCTGGGAGACAACCAGAGTGTTAAGAAAAATATAGGCTCAGGATTGCTCATAGGTTGAAACGCCAGGAATTCAACTCATTCATAAATTAGACTCTTGTGTAATGTGTGAGTTCTTGCAGTTTTGAAACATACACTGTTGGTCCCATAATATTACACCAAAATTCTAGTGGCTTGACCTTTTGTGGGAGAAAGCTGGTAGACCGACATATGAAAGAATGGGTCTGAGTGGTCATTGTGCACAGTGTAAAAAAACCCTGCAGCACGCAGTACATAATGAGAAACAAAAAAAAACCTGACCGTGTTTTTGGTTTAAAACACCGACGTTGCGGTGTATTTTCGTATGGTATTTATGGTTGTATTTTTTTCTTGGCCTCATTTGATAGAATGGAAGATATATTACAGAAATAGAGATGATTTTGAATAGTTTAAAAAATAAATTTCCTTGAAATTGAGATCAAAGTAGCGGAAATGTTCGATTTTTGCCAATGTTCAAGAGTAAACAAATCAAAACATGTCAACTGGTTGATCTAATATGCTTTCACAAATGTGCTGATTTTATTCATACCATGTTTACATAATGCAGTAGTTTGCATAACAGTAAGTCTTCTATTTTTGGTGAAGAATAATTAAAAATGGAAAGCAGGTGTGATATAAGAGGGGTCTGGAGATGTGACTAATGAACAGAGAAAATATTATTTTAGTGCTAGGAATGTTTGCATTGTTTATTCTGGACCGTATTTTGAAATTGGCATCTTTTGAAATTTGTGTGAAATTGGCTTAACTGCCAATTTCTGACCACTTTGTTGGGTAGTTGAAATTGGTAGAACAAATGGAGTTCTAACGAAATAGCTGTGAGTTTGGTCCACTGGAAAAATTAAATTGGCTGAAAATAGGGCCCAGATTGTGCAAAATCACCGATGCGTATGTATTGCCGAGACCACTAATTTCGCGAGAGAGTAATTCTGTAAGTTTTCCATGAAATTTCATACTTTTGGCGACATTACCATAGGGAAAAGATACTGTATAATTTCATAAGATTCTTTTTTTTTTTTTAAATTCTTCAGCACTGAGAGCAAGTTTGTGAGCAGGGGTCTCGACAGTGAAGGGGGTTAATCTTATTTGGTCGCAAGGAGATCTGCCCCAGCTGTGGGAATCTGTCATTGTACTACCTTTATGTAAACCAGGTACTTCAGGACTCGATGCCTCCCACTATTGTCCTATTGCTCTTACCAGTGGGGTTTGCAAGGTGTTGGAACATCTGGTAAATAGACGTTTGGTGTGATATTTAGAGACACACAGCAGTCTCTTTGCTAGTCAATATGGCTTTCGTAAGGGCTGTTCTACTACTGACCCCTTGCTCCATTTAGATACATATGTATGTAATGCCTTTCAAGTAAAATTAAGTAAAAGTTTTATTTCTTTGTAAGGGTTACAGTGTTGGTTTGCTAAGTACAAAGAAAGCCACTATCATGCCAGGGCATTTCAGGCGGACTAATCCTTGTACATAATAATTACTTAATTCTAGACAAGATAAGAGTTGTTAACTTTTATTAAAATTTTTATTTAATCTTAATACTAATGCGAGGTAGTCAAGGTGGAGGTTTATGTGAATAATAATCTTGAAGTTGTGCATAATAAAATCAATATTACAATTAATGGTTCAGGCTGTAATATTTCATGAATTGGCAGATGTTTAATAGACTAGAGGTCATATAATATAATATAATAACTGATGTGAAGTTGTTTTGGTTGGTTTGGTTAGTATTGAGAGATGAGATGATTTTTAAGCAAAATCCTAATTTTATAAGTAGCCAGAGGATCCTTTACCAGTTTAGGTAGTGAATTCCAGATCTTTGGTCCCTTTATATGCATTGTATTTTTGCAGTGAGAGATTGACACGAGGGATGTTGAAGAGTCCTTATGCCTTGTATTGTGACTGAGCATTCTGTTGTAGCTATCAAGGAGAAGTTTAAGTGGAGGGTTTATATTGGAGTTTAATCTTCTGTATATGTAGTAGGCACAATAATATGAGTGCATGTCTTGTATATTTACAAAGTTCAGGCTTTTGAAAAGTAGTGGGGTGTGCTGTCTAGCATAGGAGCTGTAATCATCTGCACAGCAGCTTTTTGTTGGGTTAATAAAGGTTTAAGGTGGTTAGCTGTGGTTAATCCCCAGGCACAAATACTATAGGCGAGGACGGGATATATTAACGAGTGGCATAGGGTAAGGAGTGTCGTTTGGGGCACATAGTAACGTATCTTGGAAAGGATGCCTGCTGATTTGGAAATTTTCTTGGATATATGCTGGACGTGGGAATGAAATTTAAGATTACAGTCAAGAAGAAGACTCTGAAATTTACTCCTCAGTGTGTCTTGTAATAGGGGAACCATTTATCGATATACAGTGGTACCTTGAATTTCGAACAGCTCCCAACTCGAACACTTATGTAAGTATATTTTGTAAGTGCTTTTGTAAGTATTTTTGGGGGTCTGAAACAGACTAATCAAATTTCATTATTCCTTATGGGAACAAATTCGTTTGGTAATGACACTCGAAGTCTTCTGGAATGAATTATGGCTGAAATTTGGGGAACCACTGTATTAAGTTGGAGATTTAAGGATCTGTTTCAGAACAGCATGAAGTATGTTTTGTCAGTGTTGAGAGTGAGGTTGTTGGTTATCATCCAAGTATATATTTTTAGCAGTTCATTGATAACCACGTGGTTATTGGCATTGATAAGAAACATCAGTATGAAAAGTAATATAGACAGGGCTTAATACACAAAGATATTAAACACTATTCATCAGTTCTCACCAAACTAATAATAAAAAAAAGCCAAATAATTATAGTACTCCAGCAGATTCACTGAAACAAGAGGAGATATAAAAAAAACCTGGAAAATGCACTCAGATTCTGGGAACCCACAAACTGAAAAAAAAATAGGGATATTGTCCTAACTACACCTAACGAAACACCACTACAGCCTAGTGATACAGATAACAAGATACATGACTTCTTTTCAACCATAGAAGTCCCCTCAAGGGAGGTTCCTTGATGCTGGCGAGGGGCTCTTGATCTAGGGAATTGGATCTGTGCTCCAGTTCCCTGAATTGAGCCTGAATACCTTCCATCCCCCTCCCCTTATGGGTTTAGCGCTCCCCCATGATTATAATAATAATTTTTTTTTTTTTTCAACAAGTCGGCCGTTTCCCACCGAGGCAGGGTGACCCAAAAAAGAAAGAAAACAATTTTCTTCTTATTATTCTTTTTAGTAATCTTTACAGGAAAAGGGGTTACTAGCCCATTGTTCCCGGCATTTTAGTTGACTTTTACAACACGCATAGCTTACGGAGGAAAGATTCTTATTCCACTTCCCCATGGATATAAAAGGAAAAGTAATAAGACCAAGAACTATTAAGATAAAATCAAAGAAAACTCAGATGAGTGTGTATAAATAAATGTGTACATGTATGTGTAGTGTGACCTAAGTGTAAGTAGAAGTAGCAAGACATGCCTGTAATCTTGCATATTTATGAGACAGACAAAAGACATCAGCAATCCTACCATCATGTAAAACAATCACAGGCTTTCGTTTTACACTCACTTGGCAGGACGGTAGTACCTCCCTGGATGGTTGCTGTCTACCAACCTACTACCTACTATAATAATAATAGTAATTCAACCATAGAATCAAATCTCGCCAGTAAAATCCCACGTACCAACGCCCGAGCAAGTGATTACTTAGATGGGAATTTCCCAAACTCCTATCTTGCACCTACTGAGCCCACTGAAGTCACCACAATTATCAAGTCACTTAAAAATAAATCAGGGAATCTGTCTCAAGTCCCACCATTATTGTACAAGTGATCGGCCCATGTCCTTTCGCATGCTATTTCATTACTTTTTAACAAGTCACTAGAAACTAACACTTTCCCGACACTACTCAAGACAGCAAGAGTTACACCAATACACAAAGGTTGTGACCCCTCAGATGTAAACAACTATAAGCCAATATTAAGCTTACCGTTGCTATCCAAAATCTTCGAGAAACTTGTGCACAAGTGATTATATTTGTTTATAACAGCACAAAGCATACTCAATCCCTGCCAGTTTGGCTTCAGAAAAAATAAAAGCACAAATGATACAATTGTAGAAATGCTTGATTTACTTTACACAGCACTGAAAAATAAGGAATATCTGTTAGGACTTTTTATTGGCCTATGTAAAGCTTTTGACACAGTGGACCACTGCATCCTACTCCACAAACTTGACCATTATGGTATAAGAGGCCATGCACTTGCATATTTTAAATCCTACCTTACTAATAGGTATCAGTACATCATTAACCCTTCAACTGTCTAAATGTAGATCTACGTTTGCACCGCTGGGGCTCCGAATGTAGATCTGTGTTTCATTTTACATGCTCTCAAATGTAAAAAAAAAAAGTAGATCTATGTTTGGAGTGCTAGCGGTGCAAACATAGATCTACGTTTGGACAGTTTAAGGGTTAAAGACACAACCTCATCAACATGACCACTTGATACTGGAGTGCCACAGGAAAGTATCCTTGGTCTCCTGCTCTTCCTCTTATACATCAATTATGTTCCCAATGTATCACAACACCTGAAACCAGTTTTCTTTGCTGATGATTTGCCTACTATAGATGTCAGGCTTATTGGACGGTAATTTGAAGGAATGTCCTCTCCCACCCAAATCTTGCCACACTCAACACCATTGTTAACGAGGAGTTAATGAAAATATCCACTTGGATGACAGCCAATAAACTTACACTTAACACTGACAAAACCTTCTTTATTATGTTTGGTAACAGAGTAGGTGTTGCACAACTGGACATTAAAATCGACAACACTCTTATTGCCAAACATAATGAGGGCAAATCCCTTTGCCTACACCTCAACAGCAACCTGAAATTCAGCATCCAAATCCAACACATAACAAAAGTATCCAAAACGGTTGGGATCCTCTCCAAGATACAGTACTATGTGCCACAATCAGCCCTTCTAACACTATACTATTCACTCATCTATCCCTACCTCACCTATGCAATTTGTGCTTGGGGGATCAACAGCAGCAACACGCCTAAAGCCAATAATAACCCAACAAAAAGCTACAGTAAGAATTATCACACAATCCAATACTAGGCAACACCCCCCCTCTTTAAAGATCTTAACTTACTGTACAGAACATCCATACTTACTACTGTGCAACCTACCTTTACAGAACCATAAATTCCAATATTAACCCTGAACTAAAATACTTTCTTGATAGTTGTGACATGACCCACATCTCAACACCAGGTACAAAAATATCTGACATTCCCTTTGTCTGGCTAAACCTATACATAAACCTGGATCTCCCTGCCTGAAAACTCTAGAACTGCAGACACAACCATCATTTTCAAAACTGCAGTTTAAAAACATCTTATCACCTTGACACACCCCACCGTCAGCTAACTACATGAAAACCACCTATTCTCTTCCTTGTATCACACGCACACATAAAAAACAAACTAGACCTACTCTCTATATCTGTGATTCTCCCTAATTTACACTTACACTCACCCAAATGACTGTAAACATAAAATTACGAATAAAGCTATTGCCTAATAAATCTTAAACTAGTCATAAGTATGCCTGAGATACTCCAGTGTAGGAGCTTTAACCCTTAAACTGTCCAAACATAGCTCTTCGTTCACATGCATAGTGCTCCAAAAGTAGATTTACATTTTTTTACATTTTTCAAATATAAAAAAAAAAAAATGTAGATCAAAGTTTCTTTTACACGCTTTCAAATTTAGAAAAAAAAAAGATCATCTACGTTTTTTTACATACACTTTCAAATGTTGAAAAAACGTAGATCTACATTTGGACAGTTTAAGGGTAATAGAAACTGTGTATCATGCCAAGACAAAACCATTCTCATTGTTAAATTTACAAATTGCAATGCAGTTACCTAGCTTTAACCCTTAAACTGTCCAAACGTAGATCTACGTTCACGTGCGTAGAGCTCCGACCTTGATTTTCCCCATTTGAAAGCATATAAAAAAAACATTGATCTATGTTCGGAGCCCCCAGCACATGGACATAGATCATCTATGTTTGGACAGTTTAAGGGTTAATATTAATATGCTCCATAACCTGTATCAATATTGAGTTTAAATTATTATTAACCTGCCTGAAATGCCTAGTCATGCGAGGCAGGATAGTGACCCTCTCTGTAATTAGTATTTTATAACATCTAAACCTCATGTTGTAACCAATATTTTATGATATGTAAACCCCACATTGTAGTCTTTACAGAGAATAAACTTTGGATTTGATTTGATCTTTTTTTTTTTTGTTTTTATCTTGAGAAGGCATATGAAGACATAACAAGAAGTGACCCAAGCTCACTCCTTAGTCCTCCAAGGCAATCTACCATTTTTCCTTAAGAACTTCTTATCCGGGAGACATTTCCGTGTTCGGGTTAATAATATGCTTTCCCCAGACTTTGTCCAAACTGAAAGTGTCCCCCAGGGATGTGTCCTGAGCACCACACCTCTTTCTCCTTGGTGCACCTCTTCAAGGGGGGGGGGCCTCCTTGGCATGGTGAAGAGGCTCTTGGTCTGACTCATTTGACCTTTTGGTCTCCTTCCTCAGATTGAACCAGTTACCCCCCTTCCCTACCTATCCTCCCCATTCCCCCTTTTTCCCTTTCCTCCTCCTCCTCCCCATCCTTCCACTATCCCCTTTCTATTTTCAGCATTTGGAATTCTTCCCACAGGCACTCTAGTTCCTAGGTAGGGGGAAGGGTACCGTGGTCCATCTCATTCTGTTGAGGTCCTTGGCAGTGGTGTAGTTTGCTGTGGAATCTGGGTCACCTGGAAATGTCCCGATTTCTCTCCGGTCTCCCGGTGGTGGCTTTGGGTGTCTTTCAGGTGACTGATGTATCTCTGGAGGCTGCCTGTCGGATTTCGGGGTGGTAGTGGCTGAAGGAGGCATGATTTGTGGTGGGTGTCCGGCTGCCCTCTCTTTTGTCCACCGAGGTGGCTCAGTGGATGTGAGGTTGCTATTCTGGATTTCTGGTTTACTGGCATGAGGGGTAAGGTATGACACTGGTTCCATGCCACATCTGCACTACTTGCGGTGCTGAGGTCCTCTTGGGCATGGAGGGAGATTTACGGCCCTTTCATACCTCCTAGGAGCCATTCCTCCATGTTCCCCCCCCCCCCTTTTTTTTTTAAATGACAGGAGTGACCCAACCTTGGAGGTCCCAATCCGTGAACCTGCTCTACCCCCAGGCCCCTTCCTGATACTGCACCCTGTTTTGACCCTGCCTTGTTATTTGACCACTCTTCAGACATTTTTAATACCCCTGTTTCTCCTGCTGGTGCTGTTTCAATACGTGCTCCAGGTACCAGGGTTTTGACTGACTCTTTTGATACATCTGACCTCCGCTCTTCTTCGACTATGCTTCCGGCTTCTCCCTCTACAGTGCAGCAATTTTTGGATCGCCTGCCTGTCCCATGTCAGACCAAATCTGGTCCCACGCCTTAATGCCCAAGACCATTACCTGATGATACTTCTTCACTTCTCATTCTACTCAGAATAGACTGGCATGTCACACATGCCCTTTACATGCTGTGTTTCAAAATACACAATGGACTAAGTTTTTTACTTTACGACCGACTTCCTCTACTGCCTATCTTTCCGACCATAGTATTGGCAAGGCGCTCCTATGCCATGTTGGTAGAGATATATCCTTTCATGCTCTCAAGAGTGGTACACGCATCATTACTGTCCAGAATGCAAACCAAGCTCATGATCTTTCTCTCCTTACAACTATCGATACTATTCCTGTAATTATTAAAAAACACCATTCCCTCAATTCTTGTAGTGGTACTGTCATTCTGCCCCATACCATTGTCCAACGGAATTTCCAGATGTGGCAAGCACATTCTGGAACAGCTAGAACTCCAAGACTTCCCAATCCTCAAAGTAGACACTTATGTCCTCCCTGCCTGCGGTGGAAACAATACCCTTCAAATGTAGCTCACTTAACTTTTGACCGCTGTTAGCTTCTGTCCTCTGTATATATAGCGGGACACCATTTACAAGTTCAAAGGGTGATCCCTACACCGCGTTTTGGTCATCCAGCAAAATATTGCAGGTCTGTCGCTGAATGCCCAGTCTATGGTGCTGATGACCATACCAATGCCTTGTAGTCTACCTCCCTATTGCCTTAATTGTCATGAGGCTCGCCTATCTTACTTTTGCCTTTGCCAAGTTTACTTAAATGAGCGTGAAATTCGTTATCTCAAAGAGGCAGAAGGACTCCCATATGCTATGGCAGTCTCTCATCTGTGCCTCCAAAAGAAACTTCCCTGTATTTCTTATTCTCAAGTTATTAAACATCCTCCCCACCTCTGGGGTCCCAACTTCTACAGCCTCCTCTGCGGTCACCCCTTCCACAGTCACCCCTGTCTCTAATTCTTTTGCTGTCCTGGACTCAGAGGTCCCTTCATTGGCACCTCATTCTGTTCTCACCTCTTCCTCTTCTTACTCACAAATTTCAGTGTCTATGAGACCTCGTACAACACCTACTCCCCGTCGCCCCTCTCTTTCTCCAAAGTCCAAAACATCCCCATTGTTAAAATCTCCTTTTGCCCCTCCTTCCCTTCTGTAACCTGCTCATTTTCCTTCCCAATCTCTACTCGGTTCTTCATCTCGAACTGGCTCTGTTACGAGTGTGGAGGTTCATCCTCCTCCTCGTACAGTACCTTCTTCCCCTGTCCCCTCCCAAGTTTCTTCCTCTTCTGCCCCCTCGCAGGTCGCTTCCTCTCCTGTCCCCTCCCAAGCTTCTCTAGTTCCCACTACCCTTTTGTCCCTCCCCCCTACTTTGGTACAGTCCATCGTCTCCCTGATCTTTACTCACTCTCCTTCCATCTCCAGTATTGTACCACATACAATGTCCTTGTCCTCAGAAACACTTGAAGCTATCTCAGAATATATTGAGGAGACTAGACCATTGATGGACACCGATCCTCCACCTGTTCCTCCTCTTCACTCTTCTCCATCTGCATCAGGGCCGGATTAAGAAGTCTCCAGGCCCTAGGCTATATTCAGATTAGCGGGGCCTCTTTGAGTTACGGGTAAGCGAAGCGACCCTTCCAGCTTGGGGGTGGGGGGGGTCGGTGTGAGCCTGTTTAAGGTCTAATTAAATACATTCTGGCTAGTTAGATTAAATTTAATAGGGAAAGTACATCAAGACAACCAAAACCATTTACCAACAGCCATTATAACTATCTTGTTAAATCATGCATTTTAAAGAGAATAAACTCAAGACAGCATAGTATTACTAGATTAGGCTATTAAAGTAGTGACATCATGTACCTATTATATTCAGCATAACCACTACAGCACTATTATTCCCTTTATAAATCACTGACCCCTCAAGGAAGGTTCCTTGATGTTGGTGAGGGGCTCTTGATTTAGGGAATTGGATCTGTGCTCCAGTTCCCCGAATTAAGCCTGAATGCCTTCCACATCCCCCCCCCCCCAGGCGCTGTATAATGCTCCGGGTTTAGCGCTTCCCCCTTGATTATAAAAATAATAATATAAATCACTGACCATTATTGTTATCATTACTCAAGAAAGTAAAGAATTGTTTATATTCACAGGCACTTCTTTAAACTTTTTTCTGGATTTCATATTGGCAAAATCATCAATTATATTCTGAAAATCAATATTTCTTGTTAGATCAGACTCAATGGTCAACAAGGCTAGGTTACACAATTTGTCTTGGCTCATTGTTGAACGGAGCTGGTTTTTTACTCTTTTCAAAACAAAAAATGAACGTTCTCCTTCACAGTTAGTAGCTGGAAGTGTTAGGTAAAGATTAGATTAGATTTTGCCACCGAAGTGGCTAGTTTATTGTGCACCCCATATCCATCCTGTGGACGGTAGCGCGAGAGCATGTGGATACACAAAAGGCCTAGGAATAGGCCCCAAAGGGTTAACAGGAATACATATGGATTTATATAGGTTGGTAGACAGCAACCACCCAGGGAGGTACTACCGTCCTGCCAAGTGAGTGTAAAACAAAAGCCTGTAATTGTTTTACCTCTTCAAGGGGGGCTCCTTGGCGTGGTGAAGAGGCTCTTGGTCTGAGGAATTAGACCTATCGGTCTTCTTCCTCAGACCGAACCTAATTACCCCCCTATCTCCCCTCCCCTATCCCATCCTCCCCATCCTCCCCTTTTTCCTTTCCTCCTCCCCCTCCCCACCCCTCCCTTTTGCCCTTCCTCTTTTTGTCCTTTGGGTTTTTCTCCCACAGGCGCGTTTATTTTCCTTTTGGTGGAGGAAAGGAAAACCGGGGGGGTCCATCCCTTTCCGTTGAGGTTTTTAGCAGTGGCGTAGTTTTCCCGGGAATCGGGAATGCCGGGGGATGTCCCAAATCCCTTTCCCCCTTTACCCCGGAGTACTTTGGGGGGCTTTCGGGCGACGAGTGTATCTCGGGAAAAGCCACCCTTTGGGTTTCCGGGGGGGTGGGGGCCCCAAAAGGAGGTATGCTTTGGGGGGGAAATATCCGGCCCCCCCTTCTCTTTGTCCACCGGGGTAGCTGGGCAGATTTGAGGTTGCAAATCCCGGATTGTTATTTTTACTAGCATGATGGGTAGGGTAGGCAGGGTTCCATGCTGCATCTCGTTTCTTGCGGTGTTTGAGGTCCTCGGGGCGCGGAGGGGATTTTTTTTCGGGGGCCCCTTTCTTTCCCTCCTAGGACCTATCCCCCCGGGCCCCCCCTTTTTTTTTTTTTTTTTTATTTTTATTTTCTTTTCTTCTTTCTTTTTTTTAAAAACAAAAAGAAAAAAGTAACCTAACCATGGCAGCCCAGCCCCCATAAACCGGGTTTCCCCCCGGGCCCCCTTCTTGATCCCGGGCCCCCCGTTCTGCCCCTGCCTCGTCTTTGGACCACTTTTTTAGACATTCCTCATCCCTTCTGAATTTATTCCCGGTGCTGTTTCCTCCCCCGCTTCGGGTTTGCTGGGGCCTTTGACTGACTCCTTCGTTTAATGGGACCTTCCTCTCCTCTGACTATGTTTCCGGGCCTCTCCCTCTACGGTGGGGAAAATTTTAAAATCACCGACCCTTTTTCCACATCGGACCAACTCGGGTCCCCCCCGGCCAAAACCCCAACGAAAATTTTACCTGCTGTGTTTCTTCTCCCCCTTCTCGTTCTTCTCAAAAAACGATCGACCGTCCTTCACTCCCTTTTCCACGCTCTTTTTCAGACTGAAAGGGGGGACTAAATTTTTCACTTTACGACCAAATTTCCCTCTAC